AGCAACTCATATGAAGTCATATGGTACTGAGGACTTTTTTACAGCTCCTTATCTTTTCTGACTGTAGCAATACTTGACCTATTTGGCTATTCTCTCCTCTAAAATTGACCTTTTGGCATTTCTTCTGCCAAACCTTCGTGGCTTTATTTCACTGGCCACTCTTCTTCATGACCTTTAAATATCAGGGTGTTGTAAGGTCGTCTATCTGGGCTCTCTGCTTAGAGCCTTCTCATCTAGAACTTACAGCTAAAGATTCCTAAATTTCTATCTGTTACCTAGAGCTTCAGAACTCTACCCAACTTTACACTTGACATTTCTTCTTGGAAGTTTAATGTGGAGTGCTTTGAACTGAATTCTTAGTTTTTTTCTTGTCACATTCTTCTGTCACAGGATACCACCATCCATCCAAGTGCATTTCTATCCAATGACATCCATGAAGGTTCCTTGAGTTTTACCTCCAGTTTTGTGAAGTCCACGACTATCACCCTAATCTACGTCACCATCATCTCTTATTTGGGCTCTCTATATGAACTTTAATGTTAAAATAACAATAAGAAAATTCACCACCATCAACAACAATGAAAAACCCTCAACAACTCACTCTTAACTTTTTCTCTTGCCTCCAAACAGCTTATTTCATAGATAACAGGCATAGCGATTTTTTAAAAATATAAATAAAATCATGTCACTTTCTTAATCCCTTTCTGTTTTAGTGAACATACAATCCTTTAACCCTAGTCTGAAACCAAGGTGACCATTTTTGCCCCAGACAATTCTGATCAGTTTACCATTTCCCCACATGTACTGGTTTGAATGAAAATTACATAGTCACTTTATTGCCAAGGATCTTCTTATCTCTCAGCCTCATGCCCTACTGCTCCCCCTTCAATCACACCACCACCTCATATGTCTACCTTTCAATTCTTCAGAGAAGGACAAAGCTCACCTTTGACCAACCTCTTAAATAAGACTTCTTTTGCAGATACAATTTAGAATGTTTTGACAACATCTATTGTGTCAAAGGCATGTGGTCACTATTGTCACGGGCACTCACATGCTTGCCACCGGTTGTTGTGCTGGTTTCACAAGCACATTCTTAGTAGATCTACTAATGCAATCTTGAAAGATTGATGGATATAAGTAGCCCACTTCACACATAAGGAGGTGTCAGTGTAGACAGCGGTTCTAATGGTGGAATTTTGACTTCTACAGGACATTTGTCAATATCTGCAGATATTTGAGACATTTTTATTGTGTCAGGGGTCAGGTGTGTCTGGTGGGAGGGACGTGAAGACTGCTAAGCATTCTACAATGTTTCAGACAGCCCTGAGCAGAAAGATTATCTTACTCAAAATGTCAGTAGTGACTAGTTGGAGAAATCTAACCATAAGCTTAACAGTTCAACCCACTAGCCCCTATACAGATAAAAAGATAAAGCTTTCTACTCCCCTAGAGATTTGCAATCTTACAGCTCCTGCCACAGAGGGGTTGCTATGAGTCAAAATGCAATAGATAGCAATGAGGTTACATAGTAAACAGCAGAGCCAGAATCTTTCTGATTGTCACCAAGCCTAAACCTGATGTTGTCGAGTTGATTCAGACTCGGAGTGACACTTTAGGACCAAATAGAATTTCATCTTTAGGTTTTCAAGGCTGTAAACTTTGCAAAAACAGACTACCATATGGATCATCCATGGAGCAACCAGTGGGTTTGAACCCCCAGTGTTTTGGCTAGCAGTCAAGTGCTTTCATCATGCCATGGTATCACCGGGGCTCCTCTTTCTGATTATCAGTCCCAAATATTTTATTGAAATGATCTCATGTTTCCTCCCATGGGCACAAAATTGGGAAAACAAAAAATCTGAATTGCGCTTTCAATACTGACTTCTCAAGAACAATTTTATGATGCAGGTGATACTTAAAAATTAACATTTAGTCACATTTGTTGTGGTACAATTTTAAGTTTTGTTATTAAGTTTTGGGACATTACTTGGTCATTTCAGAAGCTAATGAAATTGCTATTTGTTTGTTTATTTCAGGCTTCATTCTATCGGATGACCAACCTGTAGGACCTGTCCCATGTACCTCTCCAGGTGCCAAAATGGAAAACTTGCCCGTTTCTAAAGTGCACATGCCAGAAACCATGGCCACATCAGCAATACTCACAAAGTCAGCCACCCCAGAAGCCCTGCTCAATAATGAAGTGAAGGAAAGAGGAGGGATGATACAGGCCCCTCTCCACCACCGATCTGCAGGCCGGCTGGCAGGAAAAGACACCTTGGAAAAGTTGCCCCAACTGTCTTTGTCTCAGTATGACTTAATAGAAACAGTCATGGCTTTCCAGCCTGGGGGCAGCGAGAACTCCGTCCTGATTCCAGAAACACACCACCCCAAGGGCTCCTCTATCAAGGAAGCCAAGTCACCTCGGGAGAGCTTGAGCAGCAGCTGCGTTCAGTGTCACACCATCGTTACCAAACCGGCAGAAGACCGGAGGAGCCCTTCCTGCCAAGTAGACCCTCCCTTCGTCGACGAAGTTACCTACTCCGGTAGTGAGGTAGCTGTTACCTTGATTGACACTTCCCAACCGGGAGACCCATTGAGCTTGCACGAGCCCATTAAGATTGTGATCACGATGAGCAGTACCTCAAACTCCATGACGGACTTGGGAAATCCTCTCCCCCTCCAGGTGATTCGCACAGAGAGGACTGGTGCAAAGTCAGATGCTGAGCCAGCAACACCAGGGTTAGCCAGACCTCCAAACAGGGAGCAGGTTCCAATTCCTGTCATCACCCTTGAACTCTCTGAAGATGAGGCAGGAGGCACTGTTTGTCCTGAAGGCAATGGGAATGAAAGGAAACCAAAGAGTCTGATAGTAGAGGCTTCTTCCAATCAGTGCTCTGGCTATGAATCTGCGGCAGGAGGTGATGTCACAAAAGAACGCTGCCCTGTTCTAAAGGACCACAGCGAAGCATCCGCCCAACTCACATACGCTATGGCCTCAGAGTCTGAGGTGGAAAAGGAAGGTCACGCTACCCTTGACCCCTCATCTTCTAAAAGCAGCCATGAAAAGAGGCACGCCCGGGTACTCAGTGTGGATAGTGGAACGGATGTCTTCTTGAGTAAGAATTCTACAGAAATGCTTAGTGATAAAGAGAAAGCAATACCGACTTCCAAATCTGACTTAGAGGCTAAAGAAGGACAAATACCAAATGAATCCCACTTCTTAGAATTTGTTTCCCTGTTGGAATCAATGAACACGTCCAAGGTAGTGGCTGTGAATGAGCCGCATGTGTCAACAGAGTGGAACAAAGAACACAGGCTTCTAGGAGGTATGGCTTCGCCTCGGTTCTGTTCTGATAGCACAAAAAGTCAATGCATCTCGTCCTAATTTACCTCTTGTGATTCGATTTTGCACAGTGCAGAACAGCTATCGTGTAATTGTTTGCTGCTTGGATTTGTAATGAATCTTTTTTGATGAATATGCCAATACTTAGCTCTTTGATGAGCGTATATTAAACTTGTAATATGCTACCAGGAAAGGTCCCTACGTACTACAGTGTACACTTTACTACTAACCTAAAAGTTGGCAGTTCACACCCATCCAAACCGCCCCACTCACATACAATATGGCCTCAGAGTCTGAGGTGGGAAAGGAAGGTCAGGCTAACCTTGACCCTTCATCTTATAAAAGCAGCCATGGAAAGAGGCCTGCCCGGGTACTCAGTGTGGATGTAGAACAGATGCCAAGACATCTGCTTCTATAAAGATTATAATCAAGAAAAACCCAATGGAATAGTTCTACTCTAACTTGTGGCATTACCACAAGTCATAATCGGCTCCATGGTAACCAGTTTTCTTTTTCTACGAGGGAATGTTTTGCTTTCCTAGAAAGAAGGAGAAATAAGTCATTTATTACCAGGGAAATAAGTCACTGTATTTTACTACAGCAACAAGACTCATGCAAAGTGTTTCTTCCTTTGTAATATGAATACATTCTTGGAAGAGTTCAGTATAAGGCAAGTTAAGTGCATCTAATTTTCCTGTTGAATTTTGTTATAAAATCCTATGTGGAGAATTCTTTAAGTATGCCATGAAAAAACAGGCACGATTTTAAGTCATTTACTTATATGAACTGGAGGTGACCTCACATGGTGCTTGCCCAGGAGGATACCTGCCTTTCACTGCGAAAAGTTTTCCTGGATTTAATGATAAACTGGACAGTCAGCCTCATATTAACTCATTTACTCTTACAACTTTATGTTGTAAGTGACAATATTATTCTTTTTGTACAAACGAGGATATTAAAACTCAGATGTTTTCACTAGTTTTCCCATGTGGATACCTCTGCTAAATGGCATAACTATAATTTAAAATATATTACCTCCATGGATAGGATAATACTCTGGGTCTCAGTTTCCTTGCCAGTAAAATTACATTACAGAACTAAAGTTTTGATAAAATCTCTAAATTTCCGCATTCATTTTTATGATTTTGGGGGTATATGATGTCTGTGTAGCTGTGCTGACATTATGTGTCACTGCTTTCTTTACTTCAGGTTCATAGTGCTTCTTAGCGCTGGGTCATTTCCTCCTGCCGGCCACTCTTTGTTCTCCAGGATAGCCAGGAGCGGACGCTTCTGAATGTGGTGGCTCTGGAAATTTACTCTTCATCTTTAAAACACTTTCATTGCCGTAGAATTCACTTATCTGACAATTCAGTGATTGAATATATTAAAAACAGTTATGCAGTCATCACCACAACCAAGTCCAGAATATATTCTTCATTTTTGAATCCATTATTATCAGATCCCCATTTCTCCTCATTCCCCTTGACACCACACCAAGTAGCTATCAGTGTAGTTACTGTCTCTGTGGATTCATCAACCTTGGATTTCATATAGAGAAAATCATACAAAACCATTCCAAGAGTGACAACAAAATAAAACACAGTAAAACCCCAATCCAAGTGAAAACAGAAGATAATAGAAACCAGAACTCAAATTAAATTAAACTTTTAATTTGACTCAAATTCAAAATGAGTCAAAGGGGAAAATGATAAGATGTTGACTTTTAACCTGACTGTATCTGCAGTGATCCACTTTCCAATGCACGCTGCCCGGGGGCAAGACTATTCACATCCCTGCTCAATGGCTCAGGGGAATTCAATGGAAGCTTAATCCCTGTAGGGTCCTGCAAATGGATTTTGGGCTTTTATTGACATCTGTAACCTTGTGTAAACTGGGTACTCAGAATCTAAGCTCTAATATCATTCTTTCCTCCAATCTTGGATTTTATTATTTGCAGTCCTTGAATCACACACGCTAGTGTACTTCTGTGTAGACTTAGCTGCTACCTCATTTAGATGGCTGTTAGTTTTAAGAAAAACCTGTAGGATCCAGACACTATTCTTTCTGATAGGCAGGAATCATCTGATTTTTCATCATATTTTGCTACAGCATTCATATCTTCAGTGGTCACTTCAAGAGGGCAAGTATTGAGCAGAGCCACATCATAAGAACTACTTGTTGTCATTAGTGCTTATGATTAAGTGCCAGATCAAAATCAATTCCTATAGCTAATGTCTATATACAAAGTGTATATGTGGTTCACTTTAAAGGCAGTATTATCGGCTTATTGAGAAATAATTTACATAAATTACACAAGGCATTTACTAATTCTAATAATGGTAGTATTAATCTAGCCAATGGTATAGAATCTAAAGTATTATTGAGCAAAGGTAAAAAGATATATATTGGAAAGGTTTTTAGACTTGCGTGGTTGTTAGGTGCCACTTAGTCAGTTCCTATCCATAGTGACCCTAGACACAGCAGAAGGAAACACTGCGCTGTGCCACGCCATCCTCACAATTGTTCCAACGCCCGAGTCTGTGGTTGCAGCCGCTGTGCCAGTCCATTGTATTGAGGGTCTTCCTCTTTTTCATTGTTCCTCTACTGTACTTGACATGATGTCCTTTTCCAGGAACTGGCCTCTCCTGACAACAGGTCCAAAGTACACGAGACAAAGTTTCACTATCCTTGCCTGACTGGAAGATTATTTGTGCCCATTCCACAGAAAGGTGACCTAACAGAATGTTCGAACTATAGAATGATATGATTGATATCACACAAAGTAAAATTTTGCTGAAGATCAACCAACAATGGTTGCAGCAGTAAATTGACAGGGAACTGACAGAAGTTCAGGCCAGATTCAAAAGAGGACATAGAACAAAGACTATCATTGCTGGTGTCAGAGGGATCTTGGCTTAATGCAGAGAGTACCAGAAAGATGTTTACTTGTGTTTCTTGACTATGAAAAGGCTACAATAAACTGCAGATAACCTTTAAAAGAATGGAAATTCCAGAACACTTCATTGTGCTCATTTGGAACTTATACATAGATCAAGAAGCAGGTGTGCAAACATACAAAGGGAATATAGCATGCTTTTAAATCAGGAAATGCATGTGTTGGAGTTGTAACCTCTCACCATACTTATTCAATTCGTATTCTGAACAAAGAAACTGGATTACATAAAGAAGAATGAGACTTTATGATTGCAGGATAGTTTATTAACAACCTATGATATGCAAATGACACAACTTTGCTGGCTGAAAGTGAGAAGGAATTGAAGCACTGGCTGATGAAGATCAAGGATTACAGCCTTCATTGTGGCTTACAACTCAATGTAAAGAAGACTAAAATGCTCACGCTGGACCAATAAATAACATAATAAATGGAGAAAAGGCTGAAGTTGTCAAAAACCAACTTTTTGATTTTGTCTTGCTTGGATCCACAATCAATGCTCATTGAACATCAATCAGGAGGTCACAAGATGTGTTGTGTTGTATAAATCTGTTTCATAAGATCTCTTTAAAATATTGAAAAACGAGGATATTACTTTGAGGACAAATGTGCAATTGTCCAACTGGTATTTTCCATTGTCTCATAAGCATGTGAAAGTTGGACATTGAATGAGGAAAGCTGAAGAAGAATTGATCATGCTGGAGAAGAACATTGAAAGTACCATGGAATGCTAAAGGACAAACCAAGCTGTCTTAGAAGAAGTAAGGCCAGAGTGCTCCTTAGAGGCAGGAATGGCAATACTTCATCTCATGAACTTTGGACATGTTGTCAGAAAAGACCAGAGCCTGGAGAAGGGCCTCATGCTTGGTAAACTAGCGAGGCAGCAGAAGAGAGAAAGACCCTCGATGAGACGGGTTGATACAGTGGCTGCAACAGTGGGCTCCGGCACAGGAACAATTGGGAGGATGGCTCAAGACGGGGAAGTGTTTTGTTCTGTTGTGCAGAAGGGTAGGCACCAACTTGATGGCACCTAATGACAACAGTTAGGTTAAAATGTAATGCCTTATCATCTGATCTCCTTTTCCACCTATTCAAAGTTGTTTCAGTTTTTAACATTTTCTGCTTTCTTTTTGACTGTTTCTTTTTATGTTTTGTCTAGTGGTGGTTGTTGGTTTGAATCATTTGTTTGTTTGCTTCTTTTCTTCCTGTCTGTTTTGTATGCTTTTCTTTATATAGAATCCATGATAGTTAATTCTATAGAGGCAGTAAGTGGATGGATCATTGCTTCGGGGCATGGCAGGGGAGCATAGGGGGAAACGGAGTGTTAACAATAATGAGGATGGGAAGACAATGTTTTGAAATTGATTGTGGTGATGATGACTTAAGTCTTAATACATTGAGTGATTAAATTGTATCATATATGAAGTACATGACAATAAAAATTTTTAAAAAGGCCCAAGAGTGGAATGCATGTTTTGGATTCTGAGATCCCCGCACATTGAACCTACCTGATCCATGAGACAGCCATGACACCAGAAAAGAAACAGGAAGAGGAGCGGAGTGGCAGTACCAGTAGCCAGAGGATAAGAGAGAAAAGTAGATTTTCCAGGGGATGGAGTAAGTTCTAAAGCTATGTGCCGTTAGATAGGAAGCTGGCTTGTGGAGTGGGGTGCCAACTCCATAATTGGAGAATCTTGGCTTTCTTACCCATGGAGCTAGAGCTGAGTGCCTTTGGAGTGAGGCTTATGATTAGCCTTTGAACATTTATTGGAAGGCTTAAAAGGACTTTGTGACATTTTTTGAGCAGGGCAAAGGCTAAGGAGTCAGGTGGCTGAAAGGCCAGAGAGAGACTTGCGTGCAAGCATGGCTAAGAAGAAACTTTCCTGTCTGAATTCCTGTATCCTGAGAATTTGCAACTTGTTAACTTCTTTACCAAAGCTGATAATGTGAGGATTGTCTGTGAGTTCTGTGTGGCCATTGTAATGAATAATCAAACCTAGCTGAAGAACTGTGAGTCTGAACCCACCACT